TTTGTTTTTCTTTAGTGGATTATGTGTAAAGTCTCTGTAAATATAAAATGGCAAAAATAGAAATATCAGAGGAGTATATTTGTATTATATTTGGTCACATATTAAATTTTCTCTAATATTTTGGAACTATATTATAAACAGTTGATAATCTGCAGGAATAACCCATCTGTATGTGTAAGGCTTTTACCTCTGTATCCTTTCTTTTCTTTTTCTCCTCCTAATGTACTTGTTCCATTGAGTCCCTCTACTGATTAAAACAAAATAAAACTTAAAAAAAATTTTTTTTAGCTGTTGATAGACCTTTATTTTATTTATTCATATGTGGTGCTGAGAATCACATCCAGTGCCTCATACATGCCAGGCAAGTGTGCTAGTGCTGAGCCATAGCCCAGCCCCAAAATAAAACTTTTATTATGGAAAATGTCACACCCATAGACAAAATTAGAAAATAACGTAATAAATTTTCATAATTCTTAAATATCATGAGATATTTCATCAGTACTCTAATTTCCCCAAATCTTTGTCTATTGGTTTCTTTATTTTATAATTTGTTTGGGTCTAGATATAAATATGGTCTATATATCACGATTTTTAGATGTGTCATTTGTCTATTGTTTTAAAAAATATTTTTAAAGTTCTGGATGGACCTTTATTTTATTTATTTATATGTGGTGCTGAAAATCAACCCAGTGCTTCACACATGCTGAGCAAGTGATTTACCACCGAGCCACAATCCCAGCTCTTCACTTGTCTGCTTTAAATACATAGGGCTGGGCTATGGTATAACTCAGCAGTAAAGTACATGATCCCCAGCACTGAAAAATCCTTTCCATCCCTTTTTCTTTCTTTGGAATTTGAAGAAATTGGGTCATTTGCTTTATAGGGTTTTTCATAGTCTAGCTTTTGCTGATTGTATCCCCATTGTGTCTTTAACATATGTCCGCTCTGCTTCTTGCAGATTGATAGTTGAAGGCAGATGCTTAATCAGATTCAGATTTGATTTTGTGGCAGTAATATTTCATAGATGGTATACTGTTTTTCTTTCACTGTACCAATATAAATATAGTTATGTAGGTATAACTATATATATCTAGTTAACAGTGTTGGTTAATTAGCGAGTAAAAATAGTGATATTAAAAATTTATCATTTCTCCCGTGTCCTGTGTCTTTTTCTCTACCATACTAATTCAAAGTCAGCTTACTTTTTTTTTTTTTTTTTTGTGGTGCTGGGGATTGAACCCAGGGCCTTGTTCATACAAGGCAAACACTCTACCAACTGAGCCATATCCCCACCCCCTCCACCATTAGTATTCAACCATCTAATTTGGCTGAGAAAAATAATTACTTTTCAATATTTTCATCAACTTCTAAAATTTGTTTATGGTACCATCTTTACCCTACCCCTTCCCCTGTTTAAATATTGTTTCTGCCATTTAAAATAATTTCCCTGCCATTAAAAAAAAAAACAAACCTTTAATTATTTATTTTTATGTGATGCTGAGGATTGAACCCAGTGTACCTCATACATGCTAGGCAGGCACCCTCCCACTGAGCTATACCCACAACCCCTCATTTCTCTGCCATTTTACTGAATCAATTTGTGTTATTAGTGAGCTCTATGATGAATACAGCCAATCCACCTTAACCTTATTTTGCTGGGTAATTGGATGGCTTTGGATACTGTTGATTGCCTCCCCTGGAAACACTACCTTGGCTTTTGTGACATTCTCTCCTGATTCATTCATTCATTCATTCTGATTTGTTATCTTGTATTTCAATTCATAATACACACAAAGAGCACAGTTTTTAATGTCTCTGGTTGTACAGAGTCACGCCATTTGTGTTTTCATACATGTACTTGGGGTAATGATGTCCATCTCATTCCAGTCTCTCTTTATTTTTTGTGTAACCTTTTTTGTTCTCAGAACCAATTGAAGATTCTTTTTAAAAAAATACATTTATTTATTTATTTTTTACGTGGTTCTGAGGATTGAACCCAGTGCCCCACATTTGCTAGACAAGTGCTCTACCACTGAGCTACAAACCCCAGCCCAATTGAAGATTTTAAATTTTGTTTTTGTTTTGCAGTGCTGGGGAATCATGTACGTTACTGCTGAGTTATACCATAGCCCAGCCCTACTTACAAATTTTTTTTTCCTCGTGGTACTGGGGATTAAACCTAGGGCTACTTTATTGAACTACATCCCCAGCCCTTTTTTATTTTTTATTTTGAGATAAGATTTCACTGCATTGCTTAGGGCCATTCTAAATTGCTGAGGCTAGCCTTGAACTTGTACTCCTCCTGCCTTAGCCTCCTAAATATCTGGGATTACAGGCGTGTGCCTCCTTACCCAGACAAAAAGTTTTTTGTTTTTGTTTTTTCCTGTCTGCCTGCCTGCCTGCCTGCCTTCTTTCCTTCTTCCTATATTTTTGTTTGGTGACACTGGGGATTGGACCCAGGGCGCCAGCTACATCCTAGCCCTAATTGTAGATAAGATCTTAAGTATTGGTGTTGCTGTCCCTGGTTCTAGGCTTGACCCTCTGCTCAACTTGCTCTGCAAATTCTTCCTAGGTCATCTCAACCATTGCTATGTCTCCATTTACCACATCTAAGTAAAAATTGTCAAACCATTTTATTTTAGGTCAGTTCTCTTCAGAACTGGCTTGTTTGTACACCTTCCTAGTGGAAACTTCAGCTTTTATTTTACTTGGAGGATGATTTCCTTTGGGGGGGATGTGCTGTGGATTGAACCCAGGGATGCTTTACCACTGAGCCATATCCCCAGCCTTTTTATTTATTTATTTAATTTAATTTATTTTTTTTTTGAGAGAGAGAGAGAATTTTAATATTTATTTTTTAGTTTTCGGCGGATACAACATTTTTGTTTGTGGTGCTGAGGATCGAACCCGGGCCGCACGCATGCCTGGCAAGTGCACTACCGCTTGAGCCACATCCCCAGCCCCCTTTTTATTTTTTATTTTGAGTCAGGGTCTCACCACGTTGCTCAGGACTTGGCTGCTCTTGAACTTGGGTTTCTCCTGACTCAGCCACCCAGTGTCACTGGGATTACAGCTTGTGCCACCACACTAGTCCTACTGGTTTAAAGTGCCCCTGGTGACTGAATTTTATATATGCCAGAAGCCTGCTTAAATAAAACCATCTCAGATACATTTTCTAAATCCAGTGGAAATACCCTCTGTTTTTGTATAACAAGACAATCTTTTTTTATCCCCTGCCCCCAGCTGGGGATTAGAACAAGATCCTTGCATATGCTGGGCTAGTACTCCACTACTTAGCTACACCCTCTCACCCCTTTTTATTGTTTAATTTTGAGACAGTGTCTTGCTAAGTTGCCCACCCATACTGGCCTCACACTTGCTGTTTTCCTGCCTCAGCCTTCCATGTAGCTGGAATTATTAAATGCCACTGTGCCCAGTATTTTTGTTTGTTTGTTTGTTTGTTTATTATTGGGGATTGAACCCTGGGACACTTTACTGCTGAACCAAATCCCCAGCCCTTTTTATTTCTTTGACTTTGAGACAGGGTCTTACTAAGTTGCCTAGGACCTTGAACTTGGGGTCCTCCTGCCTCAGCCTTCTGAGTTTCTTGAATTATAGACTTGCACTCTTGGGCCCAGGTTTTTTTTTTTTTTGGTACAGTCTTGTACTCCTGGGCTCTAGAAAACCTGCCTTACTTCTCAGTAGCCACGAGTAGAAGCACCCCTGTCCTAAAGAATGATTATTTATAAAAGAATATAATTTCTTGATTTTTCTCACAAATTTACCTTAATTTAGTTGATTACTACTTTTTAGATACAGTATGGAAACTGACTTTATGGTATTATAAGTGTATCAAATTAGGACTCTTGAAATGTTAAGTAATATTATCCAAAAGCTAGATTAGAGGGAAGTGCTATGTAAGCTTGAGAATCTAGGGTAGTTCTTTCCTTCTTTTTTTTTTTTTTTTTAAAAACACATGCCTCTGAGGGACACAAAATAAAATGAATTAAATTTGTCTTTTGATTTAAATTGCATTGGTTAAGAGAGCATAAGATTGCTAAGCAGTTTATTTCCGTTATAAATACCAGCCAATCTTATGCTGTTATTGGTGGCTAATTGTTAATCCTGAAGATCACTTCAGTTATGGCTGGCATAATTTGATTTCTGTACAGTTTATGAAATCTTTATCTCCAGGTTTAAAAATATATATTTTTTTTAGTTATTGATGGACCTTTATTTTATTCATTTACATGGGGTGCTGAGAATTGAACCCAGTGCCTCACGCATACTCGGCAAACGCTCTACCACTGAGTCACAAACCCAGCCCTCTTTTGCTTTTTATATTACCTTTTTTGTAAATTACAGATTTTGTCTTTAAGGTAAAATTATAATCTTATAGAGTAGGTTTTTTTGTTTGTTTGTTTTTATTTTTTATTTTTATTTTTTGTGGTTCTGAGGATGAAACCTTGGGCCTCACACATACTAGGCAAGTTCTCTACCACTGAGCTTCTCTATAGACCGTTTTTTCTTAATATTTGAAATTAAGTATATTTGGCAGTTGACAAGGATGGGAATAGGTAAATGTAGGCTACATTTTAACATAGATTAAGCAGTTTGTATCATTAAGTAACTATTGAAGGTAATATAAAATTCTACATATTTTGGCATATATTTTTATTTTAGGTTGAAAAATCTAAAATTCATTAACATCCATAAGACACTAATTTAAAAAAACTATAAGTAAATAGCAGAAAGATTAATAAAGGGAAGGGATTGGGGGAGGGGAGGAAAAGAGAAATTACTGGGGACTGAATGAGAATATAGTCCCTGCTTTTACAATATATCAAAATGAATCCTATTGTTACATATAACTAAAAATAACCAATAAAAAACACAGTAAACCTCATCTTTGAAAATGTGTACTGCAATTAGTAATTTAGAAATAATTTGAATTTTAAGTGAAAAATAATGTTATTTTTTCTTTTTCTTTTTCTCCTTAGGTGGAATGAACCTTACTTGTTGAATATCTCCTGGTTACTGGTTGGATTCACTTATAAAAGAATCATTTTCCTCTGTGTGGAAGCCACTTAGTGGCATAGTTAATTATAAACCCAGGGATTACAAAGCCTTTTGATTTCCTGAAGGAGGGACATACCACTATATCAAATAAGCTTGACATTAACAGCCAAAATGGTGCTGTCCCAGAGACAACGAGATGAACTGTAAGTTTCTTTCTTTTTCTTTTTTTTTTTTTTGTGATGTTAAGAAAAAAAATTCTCTTTCATAAGAGACAGAGTAGTAAATTAAAATACAGATTTGGGAGGTTTAAGATTAAAACTTTTTTTTTAAACCAGTGTGTACCTATTGGTTTGGCAGTGTGGTTTGATCTTACACCTGGGTCTTCCTTTAACATAGCATTATTTACTCATGTGATTTTTTTTAATGTTTAAGTTTAAAGCAAAATAAATAAGCAAGTTAGTTGATAAGTCTTATCCTAAACTCCGCCCCCCCCCCCTCTTTTTTGGGAATGGTACTGGGGATTGAACTCAGAGATAAACTTGTCTTTTAAATAAATTATGTTTGCAGGAAGATAAATGCTTCATATCTTTAATTTTTTCCCCCTTTAAATCCATGTCTTAGAAAAATAAAAGAGAAATTACTCCCACCTTGACCATGGTCTTATATACTATATCCTCAGCCTTTTTTATTTTTTATTTTCAGACAGGGTCTGGTTAAATTGCTGAGACAGCTGGCCTTGAATTTGTAATTCTTCTGTTTCATCTTCTTGAGTTGCCGGAATTGCTAGGATTTTGTTATATGCCACAAAGCCTAGCACCATGTTTTGTTATTGACAGTGCCTTTCCTTTGCTTTGTTGTGTTTTTTTATCTTTTATCATTCAAAGGCTATTAGGATTTGGACTTTGTGAGGTAGCAAATATGATAGTAAATGCAAATGCATTAATGAGACAGGTGTGAAGTAGTTTAACCACTGCTATTTAGGACATTCCATACTTTTTAGTATTTTATAGCATTCCATATTTCTAGGTGAAGAGTATGGGGAGAAAATTTAATTTTTTAAAAAAATTTTTATGTGGTACCAAGGATCAAACCCAGTATTTCATACATGGAAGGCAAGTACTCTACCACTGATCTACAATACCAGCCTTATTTGGAAATATTTTTTTTTTTTTTTTTTTTTTTTTAATATTTATTTATTTATTTATTTTTAGTACTCGGCAGACACAACATCTTTGTTGGTATGTGGTGCTGAGGATCGAACCCGGGCCGCACGCGTGCCAGGCGAGCGCGCTACCGCTTGAGCCACATCCCCAGCCCTGGAAATATTTTTAAATTTATAAAAAAGTTACAAAATTATTACAGAGATTGTTTATTATGTTTTATCTATTTCCTATTGTTAACATTTCATACCATTTGCTTCACATGTTTACTTCATAAGGGTGTGTGTAAAGTATGCTACACAATAGTTTTTTCCCTTAAATGTTTGAGATTAAGTTACTTATGCAAATATCTCCAGATACTTCATTATTCAGTCCCTAAAATTAAGGTTTTCTTCTATAAAACCACAATACATTTAGTGTTTTCAGTAAATTTAATGTTGATAAATTTTTTCAGTTAATCTATTTTTTTATTCCAATTTTGTCAATTGATCCCATAACATACCCACCTTCCTCCATTAATTTTATTTTACTTTACAACAGTGTTCCTCTAAATTGTTCTGGCTAGCCTCAAACTTTTAATTCTCCGGCCTCAGCCTCCCTAGTAGCTGGGATTACAAGTGTGGATCACTAGGCCTGGCCATTATGTTGTTCATTGCATTTCTTTTCCTCTCTAGTACACCATCCAATCCAGGATCAAGTGTTGCATTTCATTGTTCTGTCTCTTTTATTAACAGCGTGTTCCTCATTTTGGATTTGTCTTTTGTTTTCTCGTGGTTAGATTTATGTTTTGCATAAGTGAGGAAATACTTTAAGACCACATGAACTTCTGGTTTTCCATCGATATTTCCTCCTAGATTTAATATCGGTTGGTGAGTCTTGCTTGAGCCAGTCTTTAGTACAATGGTTGCAAAGTAATGATTTTCTAATACCACCACTCATTCCACAATTACCATTCAGCACTTATCATTTTACTATAAGCCAGGCCCCCTCCCCCTTTATTTAGTAGTCTTTTCATTTTTGGTATGAACTCATGAGTTCTTATATTTTTTTTCTTTCTTTCTTTTTTTTTTTTGTGTGAGCTATACTGCTCAGCTATATTCCCATCCCTTTAGAAGTGTTTATCAAGCAACAAAAATTTGTGTTATAATAGTATTTCATTGTAAATCTGGGAAATAGATTGTCTAGTTTTTAGTAAAAATAGAAGGTGAATCTTTTTTTTCCTCCCATTTCTGAAAATAATATGAATGTGTATTTACTGTAATAGGAGGAAACAAATGTTTATATACTTCGTGGAAATATGGTATATTTTGATACCTTAATTGATTTTTTTTTTTTTGGTAACATTTGTAGCATTTATAAGAGGTTGGGTAGTAATTGATGTGTAAAATCCTTTGAGCTATCATTGAGGTAGAAATGAGAATGATTTTTTTTTTTTTTTTGGTACTGGGGATTAAACCAGGGGCACTCTACCACTGAGCACATCCTCAGCCCTTTTTGTTTTGAGCCAGGGTTTCACTAAGTTGCTGAGGGTGGTCTTGACCTTGCCATCCTTTTGTCTCAGCCTTCCTGACTTGTTGGCATGAGCCACCAGGCTTGACTTCAAGAAGGAAAGAGATCACTGAAGCAGTACAATTAAATGTGATTCAGCTTAACAGTGTGTGCTATTTACCTTCTATGCTCTTATTGCTCTGGGTCCTACAGGCATGACTAATATAAAAAATTTTTATGGATATGACAAATACCTTTATAGATAAATTGAGGAGAAATTAAAATTAATCTGGTTTCATGACGAGTAACAGAGGCAAAACCAGTTTTCTGATTTTTAGTTCAAAAAGTAGTACATGTCAAAATATAAGCATCAATTCCCCTTACCCTAACCAAAACTTTACAATCCTACATTCGAGATGTAGCCAACATTACCTCTGTATATTATATATATTTTTCCAGATATTTTCATGTATTTACAAAAATTTCATGTATTAAGCTACAAAGAAAATTTTAAATTCCAAAAAAGTAGAAGTCACATAGGCTTTATTTGCTGTCATAATGCATTAAAAGTATTTAAATAGTTCTGTCTTGTCCTTTCTTTTCCTGTCCTTTTCTTTCTACCCAGGGGGACCCTACTACTGAGCTACATCCCCAACCCTTTTTAAAATTTTTATTTTGAGACAGGGTCTTGCAATGTTGCTGAGGTTGGCTTGAACTCACACTTTTCCTGACTCAGCCCCATGAGCACCTGGGATTACAGGTGTGTGCCAATGTGCCTGGCTCCTTAGGTCTTTTTAAATTTTTAGTCAAGGATTCTCAAAGTTCCCCAGACTGGCCTCGAACTTGTGATCCTCTTGCCTCAGCTTCCCAAGTAGCTGCAATTATAGGAGTGGACCACTATGCCCAGCTTGTTACTTTGTTTAATGTTATTTATTTTTTTTTTAAGAGAGAGAGAGGAGAGAGAGAGAGAGAGAGAATTTTTTAATATTTATTTTTTAGTTATTGGCGGACACAAAATCTTTGTTTGTATATGGTAGCACGCATGCCAGGCGAGCGCGCTACCGCTTGAGCCATATCCCCAGCTCTTGTTAGTTTATTTAAAGGTTAATTTGGCTATATATTTTTTTTAATATTTCTTCTTGAGTTTTAGGTAGATACAATATCTTTATTTTACATTTATGTGGTGCTGAAGATCAAACCCAGTGCCTTGTGCATGCTAAGTGAGCACTCTACTACTGAGCCATAACCCCAGCCCCTGGCTATATCTTTTAACATGCACATCCTTTTTTTGTTGTTGTTCTACTTACTTGTACATGACAGCAGAATGCATTTCAATTCATTGTACACAAATGGAGTGCAGCATTTCAATTCTCTGGTTGCACATTGTGTAGAGAGGTACCATTAGAACATGCACATTCCTTGATTCAACTTTCATAAAGAACTTTTTCAGCAAGTGTGTAGAAATTTCTCTAGGGATAACTATGTGAAAAGATGTTTGTTGCAGTTGTTTGTGAGAAACTGTTAGCAGTTAGTCATCCTTCAGAAGGGTATATTAAATATACTGTATAGATCTTGTGGGAATATTGTAAAGCAGTTAAAAAGAATGTGGTATATTTATACACATGTAAAGAAAATGAACTCTAAGATCGATTGTTAAGTGAAACAATCAGATTGCTAAATAAGATGGTATGAAAAAGATATGAAACATTTAAATACTCTCCCAAACACGCATGCGTACCACATACGCACTTATTTATTTTCTGCTTATATCTGTGTAGATACATCTATGTACACGTATAGATAAATACCTATACCAATCTAAGAAACTATAGATAATACTATCCTTTGGCATTATAAGTTACACTGGAGATGTTTTAGGCTAGCCTAGTGTTTGTGCTCTTCTGCTTAGTATACTTTTTCTTATATTTGTTTTTACCAAGCCAGATTTTGGGTGTAATACATTCTGAATCAGTTTCTTGGTTGTGGTATAACTTTTTTCCTGCTAAAGAATTGGTTATTTTAGGGGATATTTCCTTTTATTTATATATATATATATATATATATATATATATATATATATCCTTTTGAATTTTTATTTTTATCATTAGTTTGATATTACCCTTGATTTCTTTGAAAGTATATTTATCTGTAATTTTTTGCTTCCTTGGGCTATTATTCTTCCCATCTAAAGCATGCTTTCCTCTCTCTTTGCTTTGTTATTTTCCCCCTCCCCTTAATAAAATTTATTTGAACCCAGTGTTGTATTATTCCTTCTTACTAATCATCTTTGAGGACATTTTGATCTGAGGGGAAGAATCTAATGAAATAGCTTGAATTGGGCGTGCTTTCTTTAGAACACCTTTCTGCCACGTTTTTTTTTTTTTTTTTGAGAGAGAATTCTTTCAATATTTATTTTTTTAGTTTTCGATGGACACAACATCTTCATTTTTATTTGTATGTGGTGCTGAGAATCGAACCCAGCGCCCGTCTCATGCCAGGCAAGCGTGCTACCGCTTGAGCCACATCCCCAGCCCCTTTCTGCCACATTTGTGCTA